AGATGTTTGGATGGTATCACTGATTCAATGGACATGAGTTTGAGCAAGCTCCGGGAGTTGGTGATGGACAAGGGAGGCCTGGCGTGCTGCAGTCCATGGGGTCGCAGAGTCGGACAGGACCTAGCGACTGAACTGAAGGTCAAATTATCTCTCTAGGAGCCGAACAAAGTCCCTTTAGTACAGTCAGAAGGGCAGGGTCCTTTGAGGCAAGCTATTACATATGATTGTAACAACAAAAGCAATGAAAAGGAAGTCAAAGAAGCACTTCCCAACTTGGAGTCAGAATTGGCTTTCTCTCTGCAGCAGCCCCTACCATACCACATGTTTCAAAGAGTCAATTCTGACTCTATGTTGGATCTATTTCTTTGACTTGCTTTTTGTTTCTGTTGTTGTTATAGTCATATACAGTGTTGTGCCTCAGAGGATCCTGCTCCTCTGCCTGTTAAAAGTGCCTTTGTTCAGCTCATAGAGAGATAATCTGACCCTGCTCACCTGTGAATGGCTAAAAAAAGAAGAGATTAACACACCCCTTCCAAAGCCTGGCCCTTCTGGGAGATGTTTTGCAAAACTGAAGACCTGTCTTACTTTACTTCCTCAGTGCCTCTCCCTCTCTATTCTGCCTTTTGACTTTAGCTCCTCACAACTTCCATCTTTGGTTCTTTAAAAGCCTGGCATCCAGACCCTGACAAGATGGTCATTTTGAGACATTAATCTACTATTTTCTTGGTCGGCCAACTTTCTGATTGAAGTAATTCTCCTTGCCTCAACACCTTGTCTCTTGGATTCGTTGGCCTGTTGTGTGGTGAGCAGAGTGAGTTTGGACTTGGTAACACATAGATGTTTTTAAATCTTAAACTGATAATCACCTTACACTAAAAGGTAAAGAAATCAAACCAAGACTAAATGGGGAATCAAGAGAATCCTTTAAAGAGGTTTTGTGGTGCCATAGATACCCCAGGTCTACTGGTCTGCTCACACAGTAAGAGGCCCTGTCTGGTGGTTGGTGGTAGATTGCTGCCACCATCACAGGTCCCAGAACCATCCTGCGTCTCAGATTCTACCCTTGGCGGGGGGTAGGGGGGTCATCCTGCCTGGGTGAGTCACTAGAATGGGTGTGGTGAGGTCAGAAAGCCCTTTTAGGCAAGAGTGTAGGGCATCCGGCAGCCCCTCGAACACCTCTCCCCTTGGCGCTACCAGCTAAAAGTTAGAAACAGAACATGAGTTTGGAGATATGGAGATTTCCTAATTAAGAGGCTGGAGGTGTTGCCTGGAGAAGGTCCAGGATTAGAAAGGAGATGATATGCCCCTACTGTGACACCTGTGTCTATAGGTGAGTGTTTGAGGGGAAGGAGAGGGAGCAAGAGGTGAGTTCTTAAAGGTCCCCAGGGATGTGGAAAATTGGGTGCCCTTGGACTTCTTCACATTGCCTGGACAATCAATGGGAGAGGTAGTGGGAGGCCTGGGGTTACAAGTGGGATGGACAGGAGAGGGGACACAGAGGCCAGGCCAGGCCAGACAAGGTCTCCTCCCAGGTCCCAGCCTCTCTGGGCCCCTTGACCCCTTCTAGGAGCCGCCCACCAAGCCTGCCCCACTTACAGAGCTGGTCTGGGTGCTGTTCACTGCTGATGGGTATTGTTGCCAAAAGCTCAGCCTCCCTGTACACTGGTGCCAGTGAATCAAATCCCAGCGTTTTGGGTGAAGCAGAAAAGGAGAGCTTTATTGCTTTGCCAGGTAAAGCGGCCAGTGGGCTTCTGTGTCTCCCCTCCAGAGACCTTGATGAAGGGTTTAATAACTGGTTCAAAGGTAGGGCCTCTGAAAAGATTAGAGTGTGTGTAGGGCTTGTACTCTCAGGTGCTATCTACTAATCTTGAGTTTTTCTGGTCCCTTTAATCTTGTGTGCGCTCAGTCGGGCTCAGTCTCTTTTTGGGACCCCATGGACTATAGCCTGCTAGGCTCTTTCTAGCCATTGGATTATTCCGGCAAGAATACTAAAGTGGGTTGCCATGTCCTCCTCCAGATCTTCCTGACCCAGGGATTGAACTTGCGTCTCCTGCCTTGGCAGGTGGATCCTTTACCAGTCAGCCACCTGGGAAGCCCCTCTCCCCTCAGTTATGACTCAGGTAATTTTTTGGCTGTTCTTCCCTTCATTAACTGTTCGAATATGCCCTTTGGAACGCAAGGGAGGTCATGGAGTCTTGCCTGTGGAATGGACAGAAATGCCTCCATGCCTGGGAGCCCCACAGGCTCAGTTTCAGTACATCTGATAAGGCTCCAAGGGGCCTGGGGACGGGAGAAAGGGGCTGCCACTTGGGCTTATGGGGGCTGGAGCCCTGTCCTCTGCTAGCCCCTCTTGCCTGAATGCTTAGTTCTTTCCAGTGTATGAGGCCAAGGGGAGTGGGTACCTGTCGTGAAGCTTGGGTTGGGCAGCAGCGCTTCCACTGGCTTTAGATCAGGCATGGTGTCACCACATGAGGGCGCTAGGGAGACAGAGCAAGAGCAGGCCAGGGAGAGTTGTCTCATTCCTTCCCTCTGTGGTAGCTCAGGTCACCCCCCGACTCCTCTCTCATGTGACAGGAATCCCAGACATCAGATGGCGAGATAACTGCTGAGGATGTGGCTGGTCCAGCTTCAGGCCAGCTTTTTTTTCCGACTGACCCATGAGTTCCCTAGACTCCACGGCCTTCCTCCCTTTAGCCCCTTTTCCTGTTGCACCGTTCTGTCAATCACCCCATGGCACATTCCTGCTTAAACTCGATGACTCCCCATCACCAAATCATAAAGCCAAAGGCATTCAGCAAGACAATTAGGCTCCAAGCTACTCAGTCTGGTCGGTTGTGTCTCCCATCCTAATATGAAGGACTGCTGAATGCTTTCTCTGGCATACATCTGAGACCTCTGTACTTTTTTGTATTGTTCTCTCATTCAAATATTCTTCCCCCTTCTCTGTAAAACTTTCCCGTGACTTTAATGATCCATCATCAATCTCTCCTCTGTACTCCCAATGCCTGACAAATGATGTGTTCGTGTCTGGAAGTCCTTGGCAGATGGTGGATGAATGAGTAAAAGGCTGACCCGGGAGCTAGGCTGACTATCACACTCCACTCCACCGAGGCACTCATTAAAGACTGGCAGAAGTGGGACTAAGTCTCACTTAAGATTTGGAACTGCAGAGAGCAACAGGTGGGACTGCAAGGCCCATGACTGGTGGGGAAGTTCCTTTGCTCACACTGGAAATTCTTTCAAGGGGTAAGAGGAGAAAAAAGGGGGTGGTGGTGGTTAGAGGGATATAGAGGAAGAGAGGGAAGGGGGCTTAAGATCCAGTGGTCCCTCACTGCCCAGCTTCACTTGCCCACAAAGCAGCCCCTCACCCCCAGGATGCCTCAGTGCCTCTTTCACCCATTTTCTCAGATCTCAGTGCCTCACAGAGGACGGCACCCAAGATACACACTTAAAAATATCCTGAAGAATACATACCTGTTAGTCATCTTCTGCTGAGTTCAAAGTATTTGGGAAGGAGAGTGGTGAGGGATCTCAGAGATTGGGTCATACCAAACTGTGTGGTTGAAGAGGGTAAAGGAACCCACTCACCCTGCAGCTCCCTCCCTTTCTCCCAAACATGTCCAGGAAGCCCTGAATGTGAAGATCTCAAGGGGTAGCCTGCCCACTGCCAATCAGTACCTCTGCAAAAAAGGAGCTATCTTTAAGATTAACCTTGCCCACACAAACATCTTTTTATTCTTTCCAATTTAAGGTTATCAACATGTGTCTGGGCTAAAGATCTTTAGTCCCACGTTCCATTTAGTTGTAATACAGGAACTTCAAAACTGGGTCAGGTTGGTTATGTCAACATGACTCTCTCCCAACCCCATGTGGTCTTTTCAAACTCTCCCTTTCTACCACTAGACTACTTGCTTCCCTAACTAGAGGTTAAATAGGCAAGGTCATATAGAAAGGATTCAAATTCAGGACTTCCCAAACAAAATTTCCTTCCCAGTCTGCAACAACACACAACCTCCCCAACAGTTTAGGGTACTAAGTAGCTCAATGGTAACTGGTTTGGTTGGAGGTAGTGAGGTTCTTCTTTTCCCTTAAACAGCACTGGGGAAAAGGGAAACCAGTCCTGGAGTACCAGATATTGCCTTTTGAGATTTTAATGCCTTTGAGCTTTCTATGTACCAAATGAGTTAGTACTTTACTTCATACGGTTAATCTTGCCTTGGGGATTATTCAAAGAGGAGAAATTGTTCACTTTCTGCCCCAAACTCACACCCTCCCCACCCTGAATTTTAGTACAACTATGAAAGACTCACAACTCTATAGGGGTATATTGAAATATTGTTATAGTGGCCATAGCATTTCAAAGAGCCCAACAAATAAAGAGAAATTCCTGGCTGGATTTGAGAGAACAATTTCTTGTTATGATGAACCAGAAACAAAAGATTCTACCGAAACTGAAGAGTTGACAGACTATGTTGAACTTAAACCTTCATGGGGAGTAAGAAGAGGGTCAACAAAGTCAACAAATGGAGACGCCCAAGATTGGTCTGGGATAAACAAAAGGATAACAGCACTTTAGCAAGGTTATCTTCTGACCCCTCCCACCAGGTATTGGTCATCAATTTTCAGCCCTTTCCCTTCTAAGGCATCTGCCAAACCAAAAGGCTTTCTCCTCTTTTGTAGGATGTTAAGCCAACCCAAAAACATCCCTTACAGCAGGATGAAAAACCAAGAGGAAAAGTTTATAAATCTCATTCCAGGGTAGAAAGTGCACATATCCAACTCAGCACGATGGTTATGTTGTACAAATGTACACGGTAAATAACTTTAATTAAATCAGAACTGCTAGCATGTGTAACGTGTTAAGTGGCCCTGTAGCTATGTCAATGTTCCCAATTTACTAAAACATCAATGTGGCAGAATGCATTTATGAGCTCCAGATTTTCTGAACATTTTAAAGAGGCTATTAAAAATGACGTAAAACAGAATTCTATCTCAGAAACTTAGACATTAAGGTGGAACACTGGTGGGCTTTCTGGGACTTTTTCATGGGGCACCAAAATGAGCAGAGGAAATGTTAAGACTGTCAAAGCATATGACAGATGAGTGGAGGCAGATGGGGGAAGGAGGTGTACTAGCCACAAGGCTAACCCATTCATGTTCAAATTAAAGTCTGGGTGAAGGAAACCCCTCCCCACCAAATAACAAAACAAAACAAAACCCCACTCAGAGGGGAAAAAAAGGGTTTCATACAACATAGTATCAAAAAGTAAAAGGAACACACTAAACGCACAAACTTGTGGCAAGTCAGTCCACAGCCTATTATGATAGGTCCGTTGAGTATCCGTCAGCTTTCTTCTCATCTGTTATCTTAAGGTTATTTACAGATGTGTGACTTGAACAAGAGTCTTACAGGAGGGTGGGCACGCTTCAATCATTGGTTTCTGGATCTGTCTGAGCCATGTAAGCATCCAACTCAGCATCCAGGTGTCCTTTTGTTTTCGACATGTACGCATCCAACTGGTTGTCCAGCTGCTCCTTGGTCAGTACCGGGCGAGCAAGGGCACCTCTCCCTCGTCCACGGCCTCGGCCTCTGCCGCCAAAGCCCCCTCTTCCCCGACCTATCATACCCCGACCTGGCCCAAAGGAAAAAGAAGAAAACAGTTACAAGTATGTTTAATGGGTACTATGGTAAATGCCCCTCAGAGCAGAGGGGCCTAGCTGAGAAAGGCTGAAGGGCAGGGCAAAGAGGAGAAATCTGGAAAAACAGGAAACACTGGGTAGAAAGCAACACATGGAAAGCACACATAATGAATCCCTTCTTACATGCTCATTTCTAAATGCTAATTTTTTTTATTCTATCAAAGGGAAAATAACTGATAATGAAAAATTTTTTAATCTCTCTCAAAGTGGAGAAAAATTTGAGACTCACTATAAGTTTATAATTAAAATGCAAATACATTATAGATAACTCCATTTAGTAAGATAGGGAGGAAGTAAAAAGGGCACAGAGAAACAGGGATGTGAAGCTAGACAGTTTTCAAATTAAACTTCATTGGCGATCCTTCAGAAAAATTAGCTCATCTCTCCTCAAATTTATCAAACCTAAGGAGCTGGCTGATCCTATGTCAGGAGACTGAGGAGTTATTCTGACACAGGAACAATTAAGGGAGTTGGGGAAAAAACACTTGGAGTAGTTCCAGCCATTTCTGTCTCCTGATTCTATTCACATTGTAACAATTATGGTTATCTGAGAGGCGGTTTCAATTCACTTAACAAAACATACCCAGCTTTCTGAAAAGCTACTTTAGACTCCTCCCCACAAAAATCCTTGTGATGTCTCTCTCAGAAACCAAGTCAAAATAATTTGAACATGCTATTTCATCCTGAAACCCAAACTAGCTTGCACTTCACTCAATAAGCCAAGCAACATATAATGCGAGAGAAGAAAACAAGCCATCAAGTTATCAAATGTTCTTTCTCAACAGTTATTATCCCCTGGCTACTTCAAGGTCATAAATTATGGAAGACCCACCACACACTTTAAAAGGACCAAACCAAATATACACAGGGGCTACAAGAATGTATGTATTTTTTTCCTGGACAGGTGTTGTTGGGAGTTTTCCACTAAGCTCTAAGCCAGAAAACTGCCATGAGATTTGGTATTAACAGCAGCAACACCATTAAAAATTCTTTTCCAATCTGGGCCATGAGGTCACAAGACAAGTATCACTAAGTCTTGAGGTAAGATTATCAACAAGAGTCAGTTAATTAACTGACACCATAACATCTTGCTTTTTCTACTTTGATGGAAAAATCTCTGGTTTTGCATAGACACAAACTGAGTCAATACCTAGCTTCAAGTCTACCATCTTCTTTAACTCTGCTTTACTTTTGTTCAACCCCCTCTTCTCTATTATTAGACTCAAAATGGGGTTTTGGGCTATGAGGTGGGCTGTGTGGTGGTGGGATAGGGACAGAAAAAGATAAAACCCTTAACTGACCATCTTGTCATTTTAATAATACAATTTAAATTTGCAAGAGCCTGAAAGAAGACTGCGTATAATCTGGTTCTGTAACACATACCTAACTATTCTTGGAAAACCCATGACAGACTTTCACACTACCAGCATGTGTATTTAGAAAATAAGCCAGTTTCATAAAACAAACAAGACAAACAAATAAGCCTGCCTATGACTTGAAGCTGTGCAGAAAGGTGGCTCTGAGTTTTGAAGGGAGAGAAATAAGGGGAAGCTAGTCTCTGAAGTTGGTAGCTGACTAACCTCTACCACCGATTCCGCCACGACCCATAGCTCCACGCCCTAGGCCCCCTCTCCCAGGACCTCCACGACCTCGAACACCACCTCTTCTTAAGCCCATTCGGGGAGCTACGACTCGTCCACCTCGGAGCAGGTTTTGACCTTGGAGAGGAGGCATACAATGTATATGCAGGTAAATCCAAGAGAGACAAAGTAGATTCTAACCAAAGGAAGGCGGTGAGGGTTAAATGAGAGTTAATTCAGTTGATTTTTAGGTTGGGTGGGGCAAGCTGCAAACTGAGTATGAACAGATTAAGCTGCTCTTTATTCAATCAATTCAACAAGTCTGACCACAAATCCATTTTTGGAAGAAGTTGGCAGTTAAGTCAATTAGTAAGTATACACATTAATAAGTATCTACTGAATAATCACAGAGAGGTGCCTAGCATTATGATAAGATTTAAAGATAAATGATATGATTCCTGCTCTCAGTACATTTTGCAGGGGACAAGAACTATATAGGGAACAGTATAACAGTGCCCAGAATGCAACATATAATTAAGAGCTATGGGTCAACTTGCCCTTTTTTTTTTTCCCAGGTTTAACAGTGTTTCACTAGAATAGAACCAGGAACAAATGATCAGTTAAGATATAGGCCAAAAGACCCATAGATTTCTTAATTTGACTTATTTCTAGAACTTGAATGTGCTCTGATTCAAGCAGCAGCAGGGTGTTTTAAGATGGAATGGAGATGACATGAATTACCTGTTGTTACGCAGGTCATAGCCTCTCACCATTGCACATTATCAGAAAAGGAATGGTATCGATAAAAGACATGCAGCACTATTAAAAATACGTGATTTCAAAAGTTATTAATTATATTAATACAAATTCAGGCTTAAAGATGTTAAACAAATGTGTCCATAGCAGCCCAAGAGAAAAGGGAAGGGGGTGGGTCCCGAACAATTGTCAGGTACACAGCACTGACCTCGGAGCGACATCCCGCCCCTAAGCAGGGTTCTTGTGGCACGTCCCCCACGAAGTCCTCCTCTGGGCAAGCCTCTCTGGATAATGGGCAGGCCTCTTCCTCCGATTGCTCCCCTGGCCAAGGACCCTATGGGTCGGCCTAACCGTGCCTGGATGTTACTCTTACCCAGGCGCTGCTTTAAGCTCTTCTGGAAGAAAAGGTGTTAGGGAATTGAGATCAAAAAAGCAATCCAATGGGATTTAGCAACTAAAAGTGCAGAGAAAAAGAAGCGAGATGTCTGTGTGGTGGGAAATAAACCTGCACTTGCTGTCAAGGATCCCAAACCAGAAGCAAGCCTTTGCCTCAGAACACAGTGTAAGAAAAGCAGAATTTTGATCCAGAGCTTCTAAGAAGCTTGAGTATGGTTCCATGAAATTGGCATCACCACAAATTATCTCACTAGTTTGACTATAGAAGTCATATACCACTACTTGGAATGTAAATTTTAATAAGAACATTATATTTCAGATTGTGGATTCTGCTGATTTTGAACCGCCAGTTGACAATGATATGACTTGATTCATACCTGCCCAAGGACTACCACTCTCTTCAAAGGCTTACTCAAACACCAAAGGAAGTTCATCACACTCTGGGCAAAATTTAAATTATAAGTTCATGTGAATTCTTGTGACATAAGAACAAGTTTGATTTCTCAGTCAAAGAGGCCAGTGTGTCCATTTTTCCTCTGAGTATCTATCTCCAGACGGTCCACTTTTTACCTTAAGATGTAAATAAACACAAAAAAGTCAAATCTCCTTTCCTTACATATCTTAAATAGTGATAATTCCTTTGCAAACAGCTCCATTAAGTCAGTATAATGACCTTTAATTTATAATACACATATAACTCAAATATATCTCCATAGAAATCCAGCCAAACCTGCATTAGAATTGAGTTGAGCTATAATCATAAAACTCAGGGTCACATGTGAGAACAAGGATAGACCAGAGATTTTTCAATAATCTGTCCCTCAAAGAGAAACCATGAAAATGAGATCTCAGACAATTAAATTCCTTCAAAGGAATGGGTGACTGTGTAGCCTTGAACACCAAAGCCCTAGCAAACCTGCTCTCCTAAAAAGCCATAAGTCAATATGAATGAAAATAAATTATGTATTCTCAGGCTTCACACACCAAGTTACTACAAATGATTTTCACTGCAACCATGTGCTGTGAATTATTATTATTAGCATGAGATTACAAACTGCTTATCAGAGGGATAGGCTCTGAATGACACAAGGTCAAGACTTCATTCTACAAGTCTGTTGTGTTTGGTCATTCCAAGTATATCCTCTCAAGATCTGTGCTTTACAGAGAGACTATACAGTACTTAAAAGTTCTTCTCCCTTCCCAGTCCTGACTTGCCACCAACCTTATTCTCTAACTTAAGAGGGTGAAGTGTGTCAGCTGTACCATCCAGTTTCCACTCTAGAGCTGTGCTTGCTAAGGTATCCACTAGCCACATGTGGCTATTAAATTACAAGTAAAAAAACTTAATAAATAATTAAAAAATTTAAGCCCGTCAATCACACTAGTCATATTTTGAGTGCTCAACAGTCATGTGGCTACTGTACTGGAGAGCACAGATAGAACATTTCTATCATCACAGAAAGTTCTACGGGACACCACTGCTCTAGAGGCTACTTTCTGCATTGACTGTATTTAAAGCTTGTTAAAATGTCCTTTGGAATATGTCAGACTTGTCTTCAGCAATTTTTAATATTTACTCTTAGAAAACAGTGGTGCCTTGTACTGCTTTCCTGAGTCAGGGATGAATGCAGCCACTCCAAGGCTTAAGGTAGCTGAAGCAGAAGGCCTTGTTTATTTTTGGTCAATGAGCCCAATGGTTCAGGGTGGGGGTGGAAGGGTGTTATATTTAACTGCTGATTTTATGCACAGCCATGCAGTGCTTCCAGTTAAAGTCCTTACAGTTGCATGGCACCGCCCTCCAGACGCCCAGCCACAGCTTGGACATATCCTTCCACAGCCACTGTCCGGACTTGCATATAAAGTCTATGAATAATAAAGAGCAGGTTTTATTTCAGATCTGAATAGGATTATTTCTTAATGGAAATTTGAAAGAGAACCCACTAACTCTTAAATTACTCAGTGCTGTTGTTCTATTTTACTGACAAGACTTTAGGTGCTGTGGAGATGAGGGTCACCCTACTCTTTCCACTGTTTAGCACCGAAAACCTTTGACTAAGAGGACTTTCAGATTCCCTGTACTAGAGAAGAAAGAATATAGTCATTTTCCTAAATTGTAAATAATTTAATGGGGACTATAGGACTTTTGAAGATCATCTAAAACAGAAACTAAAATTCTCTGTGGAAAAGCCAGTGAATCTATTCTTAAGGGCAAAGGATCAGAAAACAAGAGATTAATACTCATTGATAACATAGAAACAGGCCACATTGATGGCAAACTCCCTAAAAGAGAAAGACAACAAAAAGTTACTTATTGGTACCTGCCCAAATGGGAATCCTCTGAGCTGCTCTCTCCTCCAGAGAAGTTCAGCTTTTGCCCTGAGCCACCTCATAATTATCCATCATGTCCTGACAGTCTCAGTGGACTGCCTGACAGAGATCAGCTGCTTCTGGAGCATTAAGACCCATTCTCTCACCTGCTTAAGTTTTAATGCTGCCTGGACAGAGGGTCTATTCTCCATCTGCTGGGCCAGTCTTCTGTTTCTGGCACTGGCTAGCTGCTGCTGTTGCTGCATCGAAGCCCGAATATTCACTGGCATCGGCTGTTTGTTCTTCAGCATATTAGTAAAGCTTCAAGGTCGAACAAAATGGATGTTTAAATAAAAGCTTTATTACAAAACATTTATTGGCATTTTCATGGCTTGCTAGACCAGGAGCTCCAGATCCCACGAACTTAAAGTGGTACACTTAGATCAATGCTGATGTGGGTTCAAGACTCCTCTGCTTCCACAAACTTGCAAGAATCAGAAACTCAGAAATGCAGCTAAGTGTAGCACATTCAATCAAAAGTGATAACAAGGGCTCAGGTAACTGCTTTTAGAGGTGGAAAGCATGAAAAACACGCAATAAGCAGATATGATGACAAGAGACAGAAGATGTAGTTTCAAAGACCGACAAAGCAAGCCAAAACCTCAGGAGACTGGAGGGTGCTATTTTACGGGCAAATACACAGAAGGACAAGAGCACCTTCAAAGCCCATGGAAATGATATACCCACATAAATTATAAGAGCATATCACATTTTCTCATGTTTTTGGTCACTTAGTAATATGCAAATATGGAGAATCAGAGTAACACACCCTAAGGGATAAAGAGAAGTACATATGCTTCAGAAAAGACAAACAAACATAAGTAAATCATTTAGTGGTCTAATACCAACTTAATAAATTCACTAGTCAAAGGCACTCAATCAACAAAGCTCTCAGACAAAAAGTGCCGTTAAATACTGTAACTTTTTAAATATCAAATGATTATTTTTTCTGACTCCAAGTGATAACTTCTGAAAAGGTTAGTTCAATCATCTAAGAGCTTGTGAAGACACTCTACTATTACTCCTGTCAAGTTAAGTTTAATGGGATGAAAGAGAACACTCAACTGTAAAAGAACTGAAAACAAAAACAAACTAAAAGCAGAATGGAAAGAAAGTGAAATGGAGCAAAGCAAGTGCCTCTTACAAGGCCCAAGAATGACATTCAAGGGCCTTTGGACATATTCTTAGCTTGCTACCTGCCTCTTACAGGCCAGACACAACACTGCTGGCCTTGGACTGGGCAGCAAGCCTACTGCAGCCAGGGTCATGCTACTGAGCTGCACCACCCCTGTATCAACGTAAAAATATGTGAAGAAAAGGGAGGGTGTGAGGAGTCTTTTTAAAATACATCCCACCAGACAAATATTTCAGATAGCATAATATAAAAATCTACTGATAAGGGGTTTTGAAACAACCGCCCAATTTGTTTTGTGTACCACATACGATGCAACTAAGAACAGAGGTCTGTAGCCTTCTGTTGGTATTTAGTTTAAAACAGACTTTTGTGCATTGGACCCCAGCGCCAATTTAAGTAATGTTTTCTTATGAACGAGCTGAAGTTGCTGTTGGCTGCCTCACCGCTCATTTAGAGACATCTTGGTGGTGCTTTTTAGCACAACTTTCGGCGCAGACTGTGCAGCCATCTTCAAATCCCGAGAATCTACAAAGGACAATGGGCAGAATGAGCAAACCAGAATGGCGACTATCTCTTTTCAACAAAACCCAAAGACCCAAAAATGAATGAAAAGGCTTGCATCGATGACTATCAACCATCACACCAAAACTCATTTCAGGTACTTAAAACAGAAGGTAGTTACTTCAAACTAATAAACTCTTGGGGCTTCCCAGATGGCGCAGTAGTAGAGAATTCTCCAGCCAATGCAGGAGACACGGGTTCTATCCCAGGGTCGGGAAAATCTCCTAAAGTAGGAAAACGACAAACCTCTCCAGTATTCTTGACTGAAAAATTCCATGGACAGAGGAGCCTGGCCGGCTACAGTCTATGGGGTCGCCAAGAGTAGGACACGACCGAGCACATATACGGTTAAGTTCCAAGGCCGCAGGACAGAAAATATCTGCCCAAGCCTCCAAAATGGCAGACCCAAAGCAAGTGTTGTTAAGAGTCTGGTTTTTCATCTACAGCCGTCCTTCTCAACCTTGGAGGCAAGGAGCTTTAAAAAACAAAACCAAAAGCACTCAGAAGCCTGGGTCCACCCCATTTCAAGCACAATCTCTGATGGTGAAGTCTGGGGATGAGCCATTTATAGCAGGGGAAAATAGGTTTGCCTCGCTGTTTCTCACGTGCAGCTAAAACTGAGAACTACTGATCTAAAGAGATGACACAGATATACCAATTTCGCAATCAAGTAGGGGCATTAGCAAGGGCCTGGCGACCTGGGGGAAGGAGGGAATAGGAAAGATTTCCTACACCGGCATTCCCTTGGGAATGCACTCCCAGAGAGCGCGCCACAAAATTTAACCCTAAAATCGCCATTACTTTCCAACGTTCCTTGAAGTCGTGTAATTCTCCTTTCATCTCAAACCTCTGTCAGGACCGCCAACATAGCTCAACTCGCCAACGTTCCTTTTTCATCCCTATCAAATTTCAACCTTTTCCATCCATCCCGCGAGTTCTCCAGTTCGGGGTCTCCCCCGCCTCCCTCTCATGGGCTCCGCCCCCTTCGGGGCCTCCGGCTCCCTATTTGCTTCCACATCCCACCAGCTCCAGTTCCGCGTCCGCCTGGCCCCTCGGTCCCCCCAAACTCTTGCCCTCCTCACCAGACACGTACCGAATGAAACGGACGCCAGTGCTGCTCCCGGGGCTGCCACCACGGCTGCGGCAGGCGGGCCGGGGGCCGGCCAAACCTGAGTTGACGGTGGAGGGACTCGGGTTAACTTGGTGGGCGGTTGGCTAGATGTGTTAAGCGGTAGGTTGCTAAGTTGGTTCGTGGCTGTTGGCTGGTCGTCCGGTAGGCCGGTCAGCCTGCTCACCCGGCCTGCCCTTTCCTTCCTTTCACCACGGCCGCTGCCGTCAACTCCCGCTCCGTGTGGAAAACAAAATGGCCGCCACGCCTAGGGCGGAATGGGACCGGCTAAAATGGCGTCGACGCAGTTACGTCAGACGTCAGATCCGCCGCATTCCTAGAGGGGCGGGAAAATTTGTGCCACGCCTGTGCGGGGATTAGGGCGGAGCCCTAGAGAGAAGGCGGGACTTTAGCAAAGGCCTCGTCTGTATTACGCGCAGCGCCCCGCCCGGGGAAGGGCGTGGCCAAGTGGTTTGCTCTTGGGTTTTAAGGGGGCTGCGGATGATTAAATGATTTGCGTCTCTGGGGCTGATTTGGTTTCCGTGAAGGAGTTGTCCGTATTTCTTCGCGCGTCCCTCTACCCCTGAAACTAAGACAGACCTCGGATGTGTCTCGGTCTCTCTTGCGGACCACCGGGCCCGGGTAGTTTGCACTCCCCTTATTTACACCCCGGGCCCCTGTCAGAGACCCAACGGAGGCCCTCTGGCCAGTGCTTAGGCTGGGTTCTGCGCCAGTCACCACCGCCCGTCCATATTTTCCTCTTCACTTCTCTCCCCAGCTTGGCCTGAATATTGTTAAATCCGTATTTTGTGGGGCGTTTGCGTCTCCCCTCCCGTTTTCGTGTCCGCTCTCGCCATTTTCCATTCATGTGGATTTTGATGCAGATCTATACGGGATTTTTATTACGCCTTGCCACACAATAAAGGGCTCAAATGTTTGAAGAATGAGTGAATGAACACATCTTCACCCCTGCCCCCAATATAGGCGCATCAGATCCTTTCATTTTCCTTCCTAGCATGTATCTGTGAGTTTAATGTTTTGGTATCCTTGCTGGGCTTTACCTATGTGACGTTGAGGGTTGTGTGTTGTTAGGCTCACTGCTCTGTCCCCAGCTCCCATACGATGTCTAGCACATGGTAGGTCTTCAGTAAATATTCTTTGAAGGTTGAAGGGGAAATTCTTCTGCCTTTATAGCTGAGATGCTGGTACACGTATCAGCTTCATACATCCTCCACTTCTAGCTGGAATCTTGACTCCCAGCCTTCCTGGGCCTTCAGCATTCCTTAAATAGGAAGATGCAACGGTCCCTTGACCTATCACCAAAAACATCTCTCCTCAAATAAGGCAAGTTGTGAGTGAGCAGCCTTCATTTCCCCACCTACTGTATACTGCCCACCTACTCTGTACCTTTACCAAAGGAGACAGACAGCAACTGGCGGCTGGTGAGACAGAAGCCTTTAATGAAAGAGGAGTTGCAGGCCTGGCCCACTAATCTTGCGCCCTTGTTGGTGGGGAGGGAAAATTAAAGTGAGGGGGAAGCAGGGTGAAGGAGCAGGTATGGCAGGGTAGAGGGGAAGGGCGCTGCCCGCTGGGGCCGTCTCCTCAACTGTTCTCCCAGAAGAAGTTGTTGCACGCCACTGTGAGGGCAGCCACCAGTACCACATACTCCTGGAAGTCCACCTCTCCATCTCCATTCTCATCTAGCTCCTTCATCACCTTGTCCACAGCATCTGCATCCTTCTGGGCCTGTGGAGGGAGGAGATGGAGAGATAGGTATATAGGGAGATGAATAGCACTGAATCAGGGGCATGGGGGGAGGGGTGATTGGGGAGAAAAAGGCAGAGATGAGCAAGAGGAAAACTACTTATAATTATGGGACTCTTGTTTCCCTCCTTAAAACTAACAAAACATTTGTGGCTTCCAGTTGCCTACAGAATTAGCTCCCTAACAAGGCAGAATAATAAAAACAAATACCATATGTTGAGTGCGTACAATGTGACAAGCTCTACACTAGGAGCTTTACAAGCATTCTCATTTAATTCTAGCACAGTTAGTATGAAGTGGGTTTCATTATTCCCATTCTAGAGAAGAAATGAATTGACAGTGGTTAAAGAACATGCCCAAAGTCCCACAGCTAGAAAGTAGTAGCATCAGAATTTGACCCCAGGTCTCATAAAATCTAAAAGCTGGTACACTTTCTACTGGCTTATTTTCTGCATCCTTCAGTTCAGTCAAAACTGCTGAACATATTCCATCTTCTTTCTCCTGTCCTCTTGTTCAGATACTGTGCGTGTGAGGTTGCTTCAGTCGTGTCCAACTTTTTGTGACCCTGTGGACTGTAGCCTGTCAGGCTGCTCTGTCCATGGGATTCTCCAGGCAAGAATACTAGAGTGGGTTGCCGTGCCCTCCTCCGGGGGATCTTCCGGATCCCGGGATGTCTCCTGCGGCTCCTGCATTGGAGCGGATTCTGAGGCTGAGCCACCTGGGAAAGCTTCAGATACTGTACCTCCTCCTCAAATGCCTTTACTTACTCTAATAATCTTCCAGGGGCTTGAGTGCCACCTCTTTGGAGAGGCTCTCTCGCTTCAGTTAGGTTAATATTTTCCCATAATCCTTTCTGACACCTCTGTTAAGGTCCTGGGTGCTTCCTGGGGTTCAAGGTTTGCTTTCAAGTGTCAGTCTTTTCCTTCTAGACTGTGTGTTTTGTTATTGATGCCTAGCCCTTAACAGGTGATCAGTAAATCAGGGCATTTTGACTTGAACCCAGAGGGGTGGGGGTGGGGGTGGAGGAGACGGAAGGTTGGGCTGAGCTGGGATGGGGAGCTGGCAGAGAGGTGCCTCCTTTGCCCCCCGCCCCCAGTCCCTCCCGCACTCCACCCTGCGCCCCAGCCCGCGCTCACGTCCAGGAAGCCGGAGAGCTCAGTCTGCAGCAGCTCCTTCAGCTCCTTCTTGCTCAGCTTGTACTTGTCGCCCTCTTTGCCCGAGTGGGCATGGAACACATTGATGAGCGTCTCCATGGCCGTCTCCAGTTCAGAGCCCATTGTGCAGCTCACCTACCCACGTCCCGTCATGGAAGTGAGCTTGGGACCATACTTAGGGTACCTGGGGTTGGGGTAGCGTCCCACAGCTCAAAGCCGTGAGATCGGCTCCCCACCACAATTCATCCTTCCTGAGATTTTACACAAACAGAACTTCTAGACTCATTCTCTGTGCCCTTCAATCCATACGCTAGCCAGAGGGAGTCAGGGCTTTGGGCTTGCAGGTAGAGCTGCTGGAGCTGGGCTGACTCTCGAGGCCTGCAGTGGACTCTGCTTGCCCTGGCTGCCTGGACAGACGCTGAGGAGGGTGGGGCAGTCAGGCAGGCGGGGGTGGTCACAGGACCCAGTCTGGCTTCCTCTGACTCTATTTTTACCCTTGGATTGCCTGCCTCGCACAGCCAGGCTCTGCTACTGGGGATGGTGGGCTGGGCTCCCCTCTATAACCTTGACTCTGCGGACCACCCGTAAACCAGGAGTCAGCCTGGAGCCCTTGGTCAGCTTGGTGGAGAGGGTGGCAGTCTGAGACTCGTGGGGAGGGGGCCTGAACATGTCACTTGGCTTCCCTCTGTTACCTCTAGTTTGCTTCCTCTTAACTTCTCTGCAGAATCAGCCCTTCTACTGGGTGGTAGTGGGAAGGGAAAGAGGAACGTCTGAGTCTTTTCCCTGGAGCCAGGGCTCCCAAGGAAGGGGAGAAGATACCTGTGGGAGCTTGTCTCTGCTATTGGCCACTCCTGCCCCCAGGCCAACTTGGGTGATTGGGACAGTGGCAGCAGGGAGGATGGGGCTGGTATGTGTTTGGGGAGATAAAGGCTGAATGCATGAGGTCTTCTGAATCCAAGGGGCTGGGAGAGAGGAGGGGAAAAATGGAGGGGTCTGTTGAAGAGAGGGGAATACCAAGCCAGGGGGCCTCTTTCCCTTGGCCTTGGGACAGTTGGCCCCTCCACCGCCTCCAGGGGCAGCTCAGGTATCTCAGATCAGGTATCCCCATCTTCCCCAGGCCTGAGGGGTCAGACAATGGGCCCTGATCAGGTGACATCCTAGCTCTTCAATGGAGCCCTTGTATGTGTCACCTGAACTCCGGACAGGAGAAGCGGTTGTCACAGAGACCTGGGGGAGATGGAACCCAAGCCAGGGCTGATAGAGGGGATAAGGAGGAAGAGGGAGGGGTGCTGGTGGCTCAGTTACCAGCCCCATCCAGGAAGGGCACCTAGAGGTGCCTGGAATTGTGCGGAGGGGCCATTCTGAAAAGACCTTGGCTGGGAGGGGGTAGACAGAAAAACAAAGGGAAAGAATGAGAGGAAAGAGGAGCTGAGCTATGGGACAAGAGGAGAGAGGGAGGTCATATGAAAGGATGGTGGGAGTGGGTATAGTTCCCTAGTGCCCCCTCTTCTTGGTATCACATGGTCCATGCTCTGGGAGGGAACCTGGGCAAGGCTGGGGCGGGGGGGGGCAGATAGACCAGGGCTGCCAGCGGGTGGGTGGGCAGAAGGAGCGGTTCCATCTGCTTTCTTATTCTTACGCCACTGGAAGCAAGGCAAGAGCTGGGTCTCCCCCCCAGCACCTGGGAGATGGAGGGAGCTTTGTGGAGGCTCTTGAGGGCTCTGTGGTAGGAGGGCAGGGTCTCCTGGAAGCTCAGTGGCTGGGATTCCCACTGGCTTCCTCATTCCCCGAGCTCCCAGATTTCTCTCTGACCTTCACTTGCCTCCCCCCCAGCACCTTCCAAACAATGTCTCCCCCAAATCCCAAACTCCTCTCAGACCCCCAGGGCACTGCAGTGCCATCCTCCTCAGTCTCCTGGAGCCCTGCTGAAGTCCCCCCTTCCCCAGGCTGGCCAGGGCAGGGAGCAGGGCAGATGGGACAGGATACTCACTGTCAGCCTGGGAGCGGGTTCTGGACAGGCAGACGAGGCTGCAAATGTGGCTCCTGGAGCTGTGCGGGGAGACCTGTCTTCAGTTGTCCTTCCCCCACGACCCCCCCTCTGCACCGGCTCCACCCCTTCACAGACAGACACCCAGTGGGGCGAGGGGCCAGGAGTGGACAGAGGCGCCCTCTGTCTCCTGGGCTGAAACAGGCTGCCCTGTGTCCTCTTCTCCAGCCTTGGATGCCACCCCCACGCGGGGGCCCCAAAAGGCAGGGCCCAGGAGGAAGGGAGGTGGGAAAGGTCCTGGGAAGAAGGAACACTGAGAGGCCTTCTGGGCTCGTCCTCCCCCGCTCCCCCCCCCCCCAGTAATAATGGGTGTGCAGCCGGGCAGAGAGGAGGTGCTTGCACCTGACTGAGGGGGCTCATCTTGGAGGGGACGCCTTAGTGAATAATTTAGTCTTGGGAGTCTCCCTGAGGGGTTTCAGCCTGACAACCCCACTGAGGGATTTCAATCCAGGGTCTCCTCTGTGTGGGGCACTCAGCCTGGGTCCCCCTCTGTTTGTTGGGCCTCAGTCTGGATCCTCTGTGGAGGTCTTGGGCTGCAGGGTCCTTAGTGGGGTCTCATTTTGAGAGGCCCTCTGGAGTGTTTCTTAGATGGGTCCTTTCAATGCTGAGCTCCCCTAGTTGGTTTTTTCAATCTGCAGTGCCTTCTCCCAATGGCAATGTGCTGCTGCTGCTGCTAAGTCGCTTCAGTCGTGTCCGACTCTATACGACCTCATAGACGGCAGCCCACCAGGCTCCCCCGTCCCTGGGATTCTCCAGGCAAGAACACTGGAGTGAGTTACTGTTTCCTTCTCCAATGCATGAAAGTGAAAAATGAAAGTGAAGTCACCCAGCTGTGTCCGACTCCCAGAGACCCCATGGACTGCAGCCCACCAGACTCCTCCATCCATGGGAGTTTCCAGGCAAGAGTACTGGAGTGGGGTGCCATTGCCTTCTCCCCAATGGCAGTGTACATACACCTGATTAGAGAAGGGGGTGTGGTGGGCCAGCAGGCTCCCTGTATTGGGAGTGATGGGACCCCAGGATGCCTGCTGAGTGGGATCTGGCCAGGCAGCTCCAGGCGAGTCCCCTCCCTCACCAATTGGAGGCAGGTGGGCTGGGTTGGGGGAGCCAGGGTTCCTGGTCAGATTGCTGGAGTGGGGGTGGGATGCAGTAGGCGTGATTGGGCGGGTCTCCTCTCCACAATCCACGGCGGAAACTTGACACCTCCAGGCTTGGGAGGGGCTCTCTCCTCCCTCCTGGACATTTATAAACCACAGCCCTGGGGCTCCTGCTTGCTGCACCCCATCTCCTTGCCCCGGTGAGTCTTTCCCTTTAACCTTGGAGGGAGCCTGGGGAGCATTTTTTTCCGCCTTGGGCTCCCAAGTCCCTCCCCTGGACCTGGCTTAGACTGGGATTCAGGAAATGGCTTTGGGAAATCCAGCAACAATCCTCGCAGAGGAGAGGGGGTGGGCTGGAAAAGGGAGAATGAGTGAGCATGGCCCCAGCCGTCACCCCACTTCGCCCCCCTCCACAACTGCCTCCGGCTGTGAGTGCCAGTACCAAGCCCAGACTGCCGTTTCTGGGAGACGAGGGCGGGGAGGGCTCTGGGGTCCTGAGCTCCACACTCTGCCCAGCTGCCCCCGAGGGGAGATGCGAGTGGGGCGACAGAGAGGCGGGTTCTGTCCAGACTGAGCCAGCCCTGACCACAGCTGGGCATCTGCCAGACCCCGGCTTCTCTGCTGGGAAGAGCAGCCAGTGTGTGTGTGTGTGTGTGTGGGCGGGTGCAGTGCAGGCGGGTGGAGACCCAGGTCCTTGCACAAACAAGCTTTGGAGACAAACAACCCCATGACCCTTTGAGGCTGGTGAAACTCCAAGAAAGGGTCCTTGGGACTAAACCCCACAGGGGGGCCACACGGGACTGAGAGGAGTCCAAGGAAAGACCCCAGTCCGAACGCCTCCTCCCAGACAGAGGGGTCTCCAGACTGAGGGACCAACACACAGGGGTCCCTGAGACACGGACACAGCAAAAGGATCCCCAGACTTGTGAGACCTAGAGAGGAAGGGGTTTCTGGAAGGGAACATTCCTGCCTCCTCACACTGAGGTACCGTTGCCCGGTCCCTTGCCCCAAGCTCCATCCCCTCATCCCTGTCCCTTCTCTTCTTCCCTGTGAGGCTTCCTCAGGCAGAGGCTTGAGGCGGCAGCGCCAGGGCAGGGGTCCTCTGGCCTGTCCTGACTCTCCCTTCCTTCCCTTCCCCCTCCTGCAGGCCAGCCCCGTGAGCACATCAGCTCTAGCTGCAGGGTCCTGATGGCAGCCGAGCCACTCACGGAGCTGGAGGCGGCCATTGAGACAGTGGTCACCACCTTCTTCACCTTTGCAGGGCGGGAAGGCCGGAAGGGCAGCCTCAGCGTCAATGAGTTTAAGGAACTGGTCGCTCAGCAGTTGCCTCACCTGCTCAAGGTAGGTGGGGGTCTCTGGGCATGCCAGCGACTGTGGGGCGCTGTGTCTGTGAGGACATGTTGCTGAGTGTAAGGTGACCACAGCTGTACTGAGAAGCAGGATGTGGCAGCTGCACGTGTAAATGGTTCTGGGTGTTCTTGCCTGGTGTGTGTGTGTGTGTGTGTGTGTGTGTGTGTGTGTGTAACTAGGTAATACTATAAGTGCATGTGTGTTGCTGCAAAGGGCTTTGTGCTCCTGTCAGGTGATGCTGTTTGGTTCTTGTTGGGTCTCTCTGTGCCTCTCTGGTTTCATTTTCCCAGCACAGGACTGAACCCAGAGCTGGTTTCCAGAAGATTCATAGTTCGTCAGAGCTGAAAAGAGGGCAAGGGAAAATATGGTCCAAAGTCCTCACTTCACGTGTATAGAAACCGAGGCACAGCTATGGGAAAGGGTTTGTTAAAAATAAAAACACAGCCAAACTCATAGAGTCGCAGAATCTCAAAGCAAGAGGTTCCTGTAAATGGTTTGTGGTTATTCCCCACATTCGTTGGGAATCCCCTCCGTAATGCAACTGACCGCATCATTCTCTCTGTCCGACTTACAGGATGGGGTAGGGATTTACGTTTCATCTGCATTGGGTTGGCACATCATTCCCAGGCTGTTCAGTTTCATTTACATCCATTCTGAAAATTCACAGGCACATGAAAGTGTGTGAATATGGATTAAAAAAAAATCCCTACAAACTAGTCTCTGAAATTCATTGTCTATCATTTGCAATATCTCCTACATCCTTAAACTTCTCCCTTCCTCTTCTCACAGGAAACGTCAGGCTCTCCCCTGAAAATACAGCATTCCCTGTATCCCTGTCAGATAATGACTGGTTTTTCTTCCAAATCTAATTCCTTCTGGGCCTGGAGATGCAGGTAGTGACCTCTTTGCTTTTCCTTACAACTTCCAAATGATAGTTTCTTCTCCTTCTCCTCCCCAACTCTCCCTCTCCCGTCCCTGCTCTCCCCATCTCTTCTTCTTCTTTTTGGCTGCACCTGTGCATCTTGTGGGATTTTTTTAGTTCCCTGACCAGGGGTCAAACCCAGGCCCTTGGCAGTGAGAGCACAGAGTCCTAACCACTGCACTGCCAGGAAATTCCATCTTCACCGTGAGACACTCAGCTCCTTGGAAGCTCACACATATGCCTGCCGTTCTTCTAATTGTACACCTTATAGCTCTCCAGCTTCTGGCTTACTGTTTTTCTTCTCATCATTGCCACTGTCAGAGTCCACACAGACAACTCATTCAACACCTGGGCCTTTCGATTTCTTGAATTCCTTACTTTCACAGATGCTGTCTTCCTGCATCTCAGCGTTCTTGCCTCTCTGCCCCAGTGCCCTGTTGAAGATCTTCAGATCTTGTCATTACCAGTGCATCATCTCCACAACCTCAGTCTCAGGCCTCTCTTCATCTACCACCTCCTGTCCTTCCAGTTCTATTCCTCTCATTCCTCCACTCCACCATTCTGACTCCACTGGGACCTTCAGTCTCTTGACCTTAATTAACACTTTTCCATCTTCCATCATCATCCCTCGAGACCTCATTTCCCTTCTTACTCTGCTGGGTTCTAAGGCTCACCACTATAATCACTTGCTCAACTCCCCTTGATTCTCTTTCTTTCTGTCCTAGTTATTTGGTAAAATCTCAACCCAGGTTGGAGGAGGCAATGGCAACCCATTCCAATACTCTCGCCTGGAAAATCCCATGGACGGAGGAGCCTGGTAGGCTGCAGTCCACGGGGTCGCTAAGAGTCGGACACGACTGAGTGACTTCACTTTCACTTTACTTTCATGCATCAGAGAAGGAAATGGCAACGCACTCCAATGTTCTTGCTTGGAGAATCCCAGGGATGGGGAAGCCTGGTGGGCTGCTGTCTATGGGGTCGCACAGAGTCGGACACGACTGAAGCGACTTGCAGCAGCAGCAGCAGCAGCAGCAACCCAGGTTAAATCCAACATTTCAGCTCCATTAACTTGCTGGTGAAACTCACCATCCTGAGTCCACACAGCTGAATTTGGCTGGAGAAAAACATACTTCCATGTTGACTTGTCTCACTTTAAACCTATGACCTTTGGCAATGCCTTGCCATTCTCCATTTCCCTACTTGATTCATTTACCAGCCCTTTCAGATGATTATTTCACAACTTTTCCTTTCTCCTCAAACTCCAGCACCTCTTCTCATAGTCTCCTTGTCACTGAGAACTTCTCTCACTGAGAAAATGAAAGCCATCAGGAAACTTCTATGTGCTTCCTCCCCCAATTTACTAACTGATCAGCACATTTCCTGTCTTCCTTCCTGTTAGGGGAATGATCCATCTCTGCTGCTAAGGCCAGTCCCTCTGCTGGTGCGCTAAGTCCTATCCCTTCCCACCTTCTGAAAGACGTTACTCTCCCAATTCTTCCTCTCTTCTCTTGCATCATCAAAACTTCCCTCTGTAGGGACTTCCCTGGTGGTCCAGTGGTTAAGACTTTGCCTTTCAATGTAGGGGGCACGGGTTCGATCCCTTGTCAGGGAGCTAAGATCCCATATACCTTGTGGCCAAAAAATCAAAACATAAAGCAGAAACGATACTGTAACAAATTTAATAAAGCCTTTTAAAATGGTCCACATAAAAAAAAATCTTAAAACTTCCCTCTCTACTAGATTGTTCTAATCAGTTTGCGAACCCACTGTGCTGCCTCCCTTCTTAAAAGAAAACCGCCCTTGACCCTGTAATTCCCTCCAGCTATGCCTTACACCTCTGCTCCCCTTTGTAGTAAAACTCCTCAGAAGCAGTGAGTTATTTATACTTACCTTCTCTGCTTTTCCTCTCCTGGTTCAGAATGCTCATCCCCCAGGTATCTGCTAGGCCCATTCCTCATTTGACTCCATGGCAAATCCTCAGCGTGACTTTCCTTCAGCACTGAGTACAGAGATCACCTCTTGGGCTCTGTTCCTTTGCTGTTGAGTCACTCAGCCGTGTTGACTCTTTTGTGACCTCAAGGACTGTGTCCTGCCAGGTTCCTTTGTCCATGGGATTTTCTAGGCAAGAATACTGGAGTGGGCTGCCATTTCCTTCTCCAGGGGAATCTTCCCGACCCAGGGATTGAAATGTCATCTCCGCATCTTCTGCATTGCAGGTGGGTTCTTTACTGCTGAGATACCAGGGAAGCCTAAGACATTAGGACTGACGTGTGCTTAGTCGCTCAGTCGTGTTTGGCTCTTTGTGACCCCGTGGACTGTAGCCTGCCAGGCTCCTCTGTCCATGGGATTTCCCAGGCAAGAATACTGGAGCCAGTTGCCATTTCCTGCTCCGGGGGATCTTCCCAACCCAGAGATCCAACCTGCGTCTCTCGCATCTCCTGCATTGGCAGGCGGATTCTTTGCCACTGTGCCACCGGGATAGCCTTCGGTCCCTTTACCCTAGAGCTGTTTCCTTTCAGGACAGTTTCTTCACAACAGCCTCCATTACATAATTTTATTTTATTTATTTTTAAGATGTTTATTTACTTGTTTGACCGCGCCAAGTCTTAGTTGCAGCATGTGGGATCTAGTTCTCTGACCAGGGATTGAATCCAGGCCTCCTGCATTGCGGGTGTGGAGTCTTAGCCGTTGGACCACCGGGGAAGTTCCTCCATTATATAATTTTATGTTACCAAGAAGTAACATGTAATTTCCGTCCTTTCCATTGTAGGAAACATTCTTATTTTCATAAAGGTAAGGGATCTGCTCACTGTTTTATTTTCAGCACTTAGAGTAGTGTCTCACTCTTAGTTGTTATTTAGTCGCTCAGTCTTGTCTGACTCTATGTGACTCTATAGACTGCAGCACGCCAGGCTTCCCTGCCTTTCACTGTCTCCTAGAGTTTGCTCAAACTCATGTTCATTGAGTCAGTGATGCCATCCAACCATCTCATCCTCTGTTGCCCTCTTCTCCTTCCTCCTGCCCTCAATCTTATCCATGTTTTCTTTCATATCCTTCAGTTCAGTTTTCTTCATAAAAGTTTAATATAGTTCTACATTTTTCCTGAGTGCTTTGTTTTTTACTATTTTAAGTGGAACCTTTCATATGACATTTCCAAAATGGTATTTGTTTTTGAGTATTAATGTTGTCACCAGATAACTTTATCATTTCTAATAGTTTTTTTGGGGGAAAGAAATACAGAATTGTGGCTAAGAGCAGAAGCTCTGAGTTAGACAACCTAGGTTCAAATACAGGGTCTAGTTTGTCATCTGTGGTTAGTACTTTAATCTTTCTGAGCCTTAATTTCTCATCTGTGAACTGGACTCATAGTAATACTGTTCTTGTTGGATTGGTCTTGCATTTATTCAGTCAGTATTTATTGAGTGGATACTATGTTCTGTTCTGACATTGTCCTAGACTTTGGGTCATAGTAGTGAACAAGCCTCTGCTATGTGCCAAACACTTTCCCAGGCATTGGTATTATGGTGGTGGACAAGATGGACAAGGTCCCTGTGCTCTTGGAGCCTTTCATTCTAGCAGGTTATGAAGATTAAATGATGTAAAGCATGTAATATGTTCAGCATAATGCTTGGAACAGTCAGCACTATTAAATGCTTACACTTGTTGAAATGTTAGCTTTTATTGTTCTTTTGGTTTTTCCTAGGTATACAATTATATAATTGCTAATATAATAAGGGGTGAATTTACATCTTCTTTCTTAACAATTTTACCTTTTATTTCTTTCTCTTGACTAACTATGTTTCCCCTTTCCCTCCCAGTGTGACGCTGGACATCTTTGCTTTCCACTGGCAATGCTTATAGTATTTGACAGTTAAGCGTAATTGTGGCCTTTAAAAAAGTCTTTTGAGCTCTTCTATGAATTAATTTCGTGACATCTATAGATCTGGAAAGCCTTCTTAGCCTTCATCCAAACGTTGATTCAAATGTTGGGCATGCGTGGTGCCTGAGGCATCCTTGCCTGGTTTGACATGGATCCATTGTTCAACAGTCAACTTTTCTGTTGTGATTATTCATCTGGCAACAGATCCTTTTATCACGGTGGTCCGACTTAGAATATCCTTAGTTTTCACAGGTCTGCTGGGAGAGTCTTTGCCAAGGACCCCCTAGGAAACCGATACCATGTGTCCTTGCCATTCCCCTGATCTACCAGACTAGTGACCCAGCTGGAAGAATGAGAAGGCAAGCAGGTTATGCAAGCAGGCGGCCAAGTGAAGTGAACTCTTCCACCTTTCTGTGGAGGAGGAGGGTGGCCTGAGAAGGCTCTGAGGGTGGTCAGAGGGAGTCCATGCCTACAAGGGCTCCCCAAGTGTCCTTGGGCTTATCCCAGGGCTGGTGCAATGATGTGCTGAAGCCTACAGGTACATGCAGTTGTAGGCCCATTGTGAGCATCTCTTCCCCACTCTGCGTACAGTGACATCACGTTTATGGTTCACAATCCCCCATGGTGGGTGTATTTAGACCATAGCATACCCTGTAACCAGGTTCCCCACTTCCATCCTTTGCTTCCCCCTGGACTTGGGCACCAGGCAGTGCCATGTTGGGGCTGCAGCTTCGTCCAGAAGGTGTTGGGGTAGTCCTAGTGCTCTTTGAGGGAAGGGAATAGTGACTGGCAAGTGTTCCCTGTCTCCCTGTGTCAAAGCAGTCATTTCTAACTCCACTGTTTTGCTGTGGTGACTCCTCAGGATGTGGGCTCCTTAGATGAGAAGATGAAGAGCTTGGATGTGAATCAAGACTCAGAACTCAAGTTCAGCGAGTACTGGCGACTGATTGGGGAGCTGGCAAAGGAGATTAGGAAGGAGAAGGCCCTGGAGGTCCGGAAGAAGTGAAGCCAGCTGGCTGGGATGGGGGTGGGCATGGCATGGCTGGATTGAGCCCCACTCCCCGAAAATAAAACTTTCTCCTTGAAACACAGTTGTTCCTTATTCACGCCCATCCTGATTTCTTCTCTTGAGACCAGTGGGTGGGAAAGCTCTGCCCCCACCTGAGGGCAAGTCCAAAAATTGTGAGCACCAACATAATTCGTCTTCAAATATTCTGCATCATCAGGTCTTGAATGGGTAGGTGCTCAGGAATACATGGTTGATGAGTGAATATATGAAAGGTAGAGTGAGATCTCTGGGACATGTGAGGGGACTTATATCCCGCCAGCTGCTCTGGGGCTTGGTCTTGGCTTTCACTTTCTTATTCCTGGGGTCTGTGTCCTCGGACGGTAGTGATAGCAGTGAACATGTGTTGAGGGCTTGGTCTGTGCCGGGAATGGTGCTGAGCATTTTCCCGTATTAGTTAATTCTCACAGGCTGTTGAGGTAAGTACTATTTTTAAGTCCTGTATCAAAGATGAGGAAACAGATTTTGGAGAGGTTAAGTCACAAAGACAAGAATAGGTGAAAGTGGAACTTCCCCGGTGGAGTGGCCAAGACTCCGTGTTTCCAGTGTGGAGAAATTGGGTTTCATCTCTGGTCAGGGAACTAGATCCCATACGCTGTAACTAAAGATCCTGCACAGTGAAGATCGAAGATCCCGCGTACCATGACTAAGACCCGGTGCAGCCAAATAAATTAAAAAAAAAAAAAGATGAAACTGGGTTGAAATTCCAGAGCCTCTGTGATGAACTGGGATGGTCTCTGAAGGGGTGCTGGGAACACTGGACCCTGTTCTCCAGCTTCTTGGCTGGAGAGGCATGCGGTTTACACTACCCGCCACCAGGGGGAGCAGGGGTGGGGGCAGCTCAGCAGGTTCTGCCTTCCAGGGCCTGGCACTGCTCTCCTGTCAGGAGGCTATCATCTGAGGAGTCCAGAGGAACGTTTAGGTTAAGACCATCTCCTCATCACGCATCATAAAAGGGTCCTAGATTGAGATTTGCCCTGTAAGTACCCCTGGACAGAGAAACCTCAGAGGGAACCCCAGACTGGGACTCTGAGGGTCCATTGGAGACATTCCAGAGTGGCTCCCCGGAGACAGATACCCTAAGAGGGATGCCCAGACTGAGATATTAGAGACCTCAGGCTGAGGCACTCTTGGAGAAACACTGCAATTGAAGTACCCTCAGAGGGGTCCCCAGATTGAGACCCTTTCAGAAGAATTCTCAGAATAAGACAACTTTGGGGACTTCCCTGGTGGTCCAGTGGTTAAGACTCCACCTTCCAATGCAGGGGATGTGGGTTCAATCCCTGGTTGGGGAACTAAGGTCCCATATACCTTGGAGTGTGGCCCAAAAAAAAGAACAAGACACTTCTGGAAGGGTCCTGTCATTTGACACAGATACCCCTGTGTGCTTAGTCACTCAGTCATGTCCGGCTCTTTGCTATCCCGTGGACTGTAGCCCACCAAGACTCCTCTGTCCATGAGATTCTCCGGACAAGAATACTGGAGTGGGTTGCCATGTCTTCCCCCAGGGGATCTTCCCAACCTTGGGATGGAACCCAGGTCTCCTGCATTGCAGTCAGATTCTTTACGGTCTGAGCCACCGGGGAAACCCAAGGACATTGGAGTGGGTAGCCTGTTCCTTCTCCGGGGGAATCTTCCTAACCCAGGAATTGAACCAGGGTCTCCTGCGTTGTAGGCAGATTCTTTACCAGCTGAGCTACCAGGGAAGCCCAATTGAGGGCAAAAGTACAGAGGAACCCTGGAAGAAGACCAGGGCGGGATACTGAGAGGTATGCCTGGATCTCAGAATTTAGGAAAGGAGCCTAGAGACTCTGGCTCTGAGCTTCGCCTGACCACACTGACTCCCCTGCCTTCTCCCTTCTTCCTCCCCATCAGCTGAGGAGGGCCCCTGGGGTTGGGGTGAGTCCCCCCACCTCAGACTACTGTCCAGGCTCCTTGGATGTCGTCGTGGGTGCTGGATTGTGTGTTTGGGGGAAGGGGGTTGCAATGCAGTTTCTGGTTAGGGAAGATATGGAATTCTGAGGGAGGGAGGAGCAGCTAGCCCAACCAGTTTGGAGAGGTTGTTAGCTGACAGATACCCTGCACCTAGCTGCTGCAGGGAACTGAAAGGAAGTCCTGGACAACACTCAGTCTGCTCCCTCCACCAGGCTGCCCTTCTCTGGCTCCTTTCTCCTGACCCAAGTCTCTTCCCTCAGGACTGGGGAAGGCTGGGGTCTGGGACCTCGGCAGGCTGGAGTGTCACTATCTAAATTGGCCTTGAGGGGAAAGGAGTGTGTGTGTGTGACACATTAAAGGACAGAGAGGTCCCTGGGGACATATTTCAAGCCACGTGTCCTTCATTCCCTCTAGGCCACAAAACCCGGCCTGACCGGCCTCTGCTTCTCCCTCTTTCCTGGTGGTTGACACAGAGCCTCTCAGAGCCCCTCTGCTTCTCTGTCTTACTTTTCCTCCAGGCCTTTCCTCCCAGGCTTCACGCCACTGTGTGTTCAAGTCCTCCCTCTCTCCTCCTGCAGCCTCTCCCCCCCTTTCTTCCCTGGCCTCTGCCTGCTGGTCTGGGGCCAGGGGGATCCCAGACCCAGCTCTCCACGATTCCCTCTTCTCGGCCAGGACGGGGCGGGCCCCGGAACTGTGGCCAATGGGGGTGGGGCTCTAGGAGGTGGAGCCCCTGCTGCAGGCTCGCCGTCCAGGCGGCGGCTAGAGCTGGGTGGCTTTTTGAGGAGGCCCAGCCCTCTGCCTCCCCCCCCTCCCTCCCCCAGGTATAAGAGCTGAGCTCAGGTGAGCTGCCTCCTTCAGTCCTGTCTCAGCGGCTGCCAGCGGGTAAGGAGACCCAGGGCTTTTCACCCAAATGGACTGAACCAGGTTCAGAGGGCATGCTTAGCCTATCCTAGCTTAGTCTGGCAGGGGAAGGTCTGGGGGACCAGGTCCTGGAGGCTGGGGTGCGTGTGTGTGTGTGTGTGTGTGTGTGTACAGAACAGGTATGGGGGGGCTAAGGAGAGGCCTCTAGATAGTAGGCCTAGGGGCTGTGACCTTAGCTCCTGGAGCCTGGGCAGGGAAGGGCAGGAAGGGTGTTGGCTCTGACCCCCTGGGTGAGGCACAGAATATCTGGGGTGTAGTCAAAGGGGATAGCTGAGCAAGAAATGCTGAGTTCTCCCCTTAGCTCAGCCGCCCCTCCCCTCTGAGCAGATCATGAGCCATCAGCTCCTCTGGGGCCGGCTGTAGGACGACAAAACTCTCACCACAGGAACAAGCGTGTCGAGCACCATGGGACAGTGTCGGTCAGCCAACGCTGAGGTGGGCCCATTCATTCCTGACCTTTCTGTTCCCGCTCCTCTCCTTCACCCTGAGGGTCTGTGCCCCCCCATTGACTTCTGTCCCCTCACCTTGGCCTTGCTCTGCACTCCAGACCCTGCCTGTGAGGTCTGAAGCTCCTCTCTGGTGCCCACACAGGGTGATGAAGATGGGCCCCCCTCAAGAGGATGCTTGGGCCTCATGCTGGGACCTGCCCTGCCTGGAGGCTGGGGGGAGGTGGGGAGGAAGCCTTGCCCAACCCGTGGCTCAGGGCAGAGGACAGTGGGGGCAAAGGGTGCTGAATGCTGGGCTTTGGGGTGGGCGAGGGCCCATGGGCCTATCAGCTGTCTTCTACTGTGTGGGTCTGTCGGGCTCCTGGGGAAGCAGGCTGTGATAGGGTGGGTGAGGCCTCCCTAACATGGGCGATGTCCCTTGTCCTCAGGATGCCCAGGAATTCAGTGATGTGGAAAAGGCCATTGAGACCCTGATCAAGAATTTCCACCAGTATTCGGTGGAGGGTGGGAAGGAGACGCTGACTCCCTCTGAGCTCCGGGACCTGGTCACCCAGCAGTTGCCGCACCTCATGCCGGTACTGAGAGAGTGAACCCCACCCCGGGCTGCACCCTGACTTCCCAAGCAAGTGCTCCAAGACCCCACCCACGCTGCCACGGCCCCTGGCACTGGCAACCCCTAGCTCTTCCCCTGTCAGTGCCAGGCAGGCTCAGGTCCTGCTTCCTGCCCCTGGGCAGGGTGGGGTGGGAAGGTTGGAAGGTACTGCCTGTCTGAGCTGTGGTGTCTTCCCTCCTTGCAGAGCAACTGTGGGCTGGAAGAGAAAATCGCCAACTTGGGCAACTGTAACGACTCTAAACTGGAGTTCGGGAGCTTCTGGGAGCTGATTGGAGAAGCAGCCAAGAGTGTGAAGCTGGAGAATGCTGTCCAGGGGAGCTGAAAACCTTCCCCTGGAATTCTGGATGGGTTGGGTGGGATGCTGGGGAAAGGGGACCTTAAACACCTCTCTCCACCACCCCCACACTATTCCCCAGCCCTACCTGCCTCACCTCTGCAGGGTTCAGGTTCATAATGGCCCTTCTGGGGCCTCTGTGTACCCCATCCCTGTGGAGCTTATGGATCCAGGGGTCCCCACCAAGGGGGAGGCTCGGGGAGCCGTTGGGGCCTGGGACATATATGGAAGGCTGCTGGAGGCTTGAGGATGGTGTAAGGGCCACGTCATTTAGTAGTGGGGAAGGGCAGAGAGGAGCTGAGCTGTGGGAAATGATTTGGAGGGGGTGGCAATAGGGATGGACATTTGGTACCAAGAAGGGTCTCTATGAAACTACCCCTCCTAATCTCTTCCCCAACCCAAACTGTCCAGTGCTGTCTCTCCCTGTCCCAGTTCTGCCTCAGCCTCCTCTCAGGGCTCTGTCTCCCTGGCTTAGGGCAGGGGAAGAGAGACAGAGCAGGGTCGGGGAGAGGCTGAGGAGGGTGACTTTTGGGAGTGAGAGGACCAGCTGGGTGCTTGGGCATTTACAGGATGATGGTTGTTTTGTATCATTTGATTAATAAAAAAAATGGAAAAAAAAATGAAAGACGTTGTCTTGATTGGTCTACCTCCCATCCCAAGGGTCCATGGGTAAGGAGTGGGGGTGAGTGGGGGTGAATGGCAGAGTCACCGGGTGGCGTGGTACATGTGGAGGTGCAGTGGTCGGCAGCGGAAGTGACTGGGGGGACTCACTCTCCTGTGGATTTGGGTTGAGGAGGGCACCGGGCCTAAAAGGTGGGAGACCTGGCCCTTTCTGAGGGACAAGCTGTAGTTTGCCAGTGGCCTGGCCCTCTGGCAGGAGAGTGGGGCATGTATGCACACGTGGGGAAAAGGATATGAACCCAGGTGTGCTAGAGCCTGCGTGACTAGCAGCAAGGGAACCGTGAGGCTGAGAAACAGGCTGACTGACCTGGGGTTGAATCTCAGCTCTGCCACTTACTATCTTTGGAACTTGGGGGCATCATCTCAGAGTATCAGTTTGCTCATCTGTAAAATGGGATTGGACATGTGATGTTAACTACTCAGCAGAGAGGCTGACTCAGAGTGAGGAGAGCCCAGGGAGCTGAAGTCTCTGGAATGGGGGATGGGGCCCTTCTGGAGTCAGCTGTTGCCTCTGGGACATCCATGGCCAGTTTCCTATGGTATTTCAGAGAAAGGGATGCAGGGGTCATTTCCAGAAGAATTCTCTGTTGCACATGAGGTCCTAGGGATGCGTGCCCTGAATGGGGAAGATCAGGAGCCACACTCTGGGTCCTTCTGACTGGCGCCGACAGAAATGGGCATTACTCTTGAAATCCCAAACAGTCATAGTTTCTGTGGCCAGCCAGGCTGGCCTGGAATGCTAACTGAACTTGTCTGTTAGGGGCCGCTGAAACTGGGCTCCCAATGACCCCAGGTGAGTAGGACAGGTGACTGTCCTTCCCTTCCTTTCTCAAAGTTGTAAATTCTGCTCAGAGCCTGTGGGACTAGGAGGGTGGGGTTGGGGGAGCGCCACCTCTACCACTCCCTCGGGGGTGGGGGCGGAAGGGTGTTAAAAAAGGTGTGTATCCCTTTAACAAGGGCCCAACCCCAGGGCCCAGTCGAGAGGGAGCTCAGTCACTACCTCCCCACCGAGCCAGCTCCGCCGGGCAGGGCCGGGAGGGAGTGGGACAGAATCTGGGAGTGCAGCGGGGAGGAGTCCTGGCTGGGCTGAGCGCGGGGAGCTGCTTGGCAGTGCCAGAGCCCAGGCCCCAGAGCCCCGCAGGAGAGGAAGTGGACTGAGAAGGCAGGTGAGCACCCCAGGCCCGTCCTGGGAGGTCTGGGGCTGCCGGAGGGGCCCCCCGCAGGCTTGGGAGGCCAGGACAAGGGGCGGTGAAGGGGGCCTGAGGAGGGGGGCCCTGCAGAGACTGAGCGGGAAGGTTTCGTTAATTGTTAACTTTCCCCAAAGGCCAGTTTGGGAAAGGAGGTTTCTGGTGGGGTCGGGGGCTGGAGAGGCCTTCAGAAGGAGTGGTCGCAGTGGTGAGACCCCCTTCCCCAGCCCAGCAGCTGCCTGGGATCCTCTCCCCAGGTTGGGCCAGCGGGCAAAGTGTTGAGGAGCTTTGCCCTGATTTTCCCCCACAGTTCAGGGCAGACATGTGTTGGTGGGGGCTTGGGAGTAGCCAGACCCTGGACACAGGCCTCTCTGGGCTCTGAGGGCCGTGTCCTGGGACAGGCGATGAGGTCCAGGGGGAGCCAGCAAGGGCCCAGGGGGTCTGAGAGCAGCCCGAGGAGGGGAGGCAGCTCCTGGGTGGCCTCTCTGTGCCTCTGACTCCAGCAGGTCCCAGACGCTGGCCCCACGTGCTCTGGGAGCTGTTCCTTGGGAGGGGCCCGTGAACCCAGGAGAAACCTGGGTGAGGCCCCCTGCAGCCCGAGTTCTAGGAGAGGGGCTGGGAAACTGGGCCGCTTCTCCTCTACCTCAGGACCCAGGCAGGTTCTGGCTTGACTCGCTTTGCTCGGTGGAGCCACCTGCCCTACGGAGAATTCCCCTCCCTGCCCTGTCCAGGAGCGTGGGGGTGAGGGCAGGGATGCTGGGAGATGGAGCCCTGGAGTGCTGGGGAGCGGGGCTCACACTTTCCCCGTCGACTAGAGAGGTGCTGTCTGGGTGTTGGTGAGGCCAAGTGCCGTAGGGTGTGTGTGTGTCCACACCAAACTCCTCCAGCATTACTTGTCTGGAAAAAAAAATTCAGATGAACAGGTTTCTTCCTCCAGCTACACACTCTGAAAGCAGAAGCGTTCGGAAGATAGATGGGTCACCCAAGCAGAGAGGATCAGAAATGGCAGAATTCCTTGCTTATTATGATTGTGTATATTTGTGTATTAGATGGCTGTGAGTTCTGTGAGGGTGAGGAGGGGTGAGGCAGGGACACTTGTTTGAGATATTAGCTTCTGGGACTGGGGAAAGAGCTAGAGGAGGGGGAACAGAGAGTGGAGTTGTAGAGGTTGGAGAAGTAGCCTTGCACATAGAATAAAGCATTACCAGCCTGGTGTTAGATTGTACCTTCCTGTGCTTTGCAGAGAGCTGGGGCAAATGAGTGAATTAAGAAAGAAATGAATGAGTGAATGAATGAATGAGTAAGCAAATGAATGGTGGATACAGGAGTGAGGTCAATGGAAGGGATGCAGAGAATGCCAAATTTACGCTTGAGGGTGGACCAGGCTATAGAAGGGAGATGACTAGGAGCCATAGGAGTCTAGGGACATATCCCAATACTTGGGAACAATTTAAGACTCCAGAGGTATGTGTGGAGTGGGGAAGAAAAGGTGAGTTTTAGAGGGTGTGGGCTCCATGTGGAAGGGGACTGGAGAGTTGAAGAGATGAGGGGGTGAAGAAGAGGCCCTTGGAGGGGTGGGGCCCAGCGCCTGGGGGTGAGAGGAGAGGGTGGGGCTGAAGTGACTGAGACCCAGGAAGGTGGTGTCAGGGCAATTTGAGCTTCTGGAGAAGTCAGCAAGCTGGGAGGAGGTGGGCGGGGTGGGGGTGGGGGCCTCTCAGTTGCTCAATGATGAATCAGCAGAGGTGAAGACAATGAGAACGTTGCCTGCGGGTTGGGGGCCCCAGCTGAGAGGGTCCTTTGGAGGATGAGTCCTTCTATTCCTGCTTTTTTGGAAAGCTGTAGTGTACTGTCCACCTCCTCCATCACTCTCAGGATCTGCTTAGAGGAAAGTCAGTGCAGGAGTTACCTCCTGCACCTCCTCCCTTCCCCCCAGCCCCTCGTCTGGGGACCCTCTGGCCTGGTTGGTGGGAGGACTGGGTAGGCAGGAGGGGCAGGTGACCTTGGCAGGGGTGTAGTGACGGAGCCTGTCTCCTGGCCCCCAGGGGAGGGAGGTGTGATGACACCTGACTATTAGCCTCTGATATCTTTCCTTCAGAAAAACTTCAGAAGAGCATTTTTTAACTCCAGCGTTGTCCAGTTGACTAAAAGGTGGGGGTGGGGGAATTTTGGGAAGCCTGGGATCTGAAGCCCACCTCTCTGGGCCACTGTGTGCTTGACAGTAGGTGCTGAGATGTCTCCTGGGAGCTCACCTATGTCTTGCCAGGTAGAGGCTGAGACATGGTAAAAAGGAAGGGCAGGCCTGGGCTCCAAGAAGGCAGGTGGTGGGAGGGGAGTGGGTGACCAGTGGGGGGAGGGACAGAGGCACATTGCCCCAAACCCATTTCTTTCCCTTTGCTCTTTTTAAAAAAAAATTATTTATTTACTTACAGTTGCACTGGGTCTTTGTCGATGTGCGTGGGCTTTCTCTAGTTGGGGTGAGTGCAAACTAGTTTCTAGTTGCGCTGTTCAGGTTTCCCGTTGTGGGGGCTTCTCTTGTTATGGAGCTCAGGCTCGAGAGCCTCCGTAGTTGCGGCTGTCAGGCTCTGGAGCATGCAGACTCAGTAGTTGTGCTCCCTGGGCTTAGTTGTTCTGCTACAGGTGGAATCTTCTTGGAAGAGTGATCGAACCTATGTCGCTGCATTGGTGGGCGGATTCTCATCCATCCTACCTCCAGGGGAGTCCCTCCCTTTCCTATTCTTATTTCCCACAGGATTCCTCACTTGGGGAACAAGTTCTGGGATGGGTAAAGCTGGGGGTTCTCTGAACTTTCTCCCCACTCCCAAGGCTAGTTGGAAGTAGTTGATAAAATTCTTGCTGACATGAGTGCAGCTTCAGGAATCCTCAGGAATACTGGTCAGAGGCCTGGGCCATTCCCCATCCAGGGGCAGGAAGGCAGACGGTTCACGGACTGAAACATTTTTGTCTTCATTTGTGAATGTTAGAGCGTTTGTATGAAAGTCTTACAAAGGTGTAAACATTGAACCACACAATTACACACAACAAATAAAGAGGACTTCCCTGGTGGCTCAGATAGAAAAGAATCTGCCTGCAGTGTGGGAGACCTGGGTCAGGAAGATCCCCGGGATAAAGGAATGTCAACCCACTCCAGTATTCTTATTTGGAGAATTCCTTGGACAGAGGAGCCTGGAGGGCTATATATGGTCCAAGGGGGTCGCAAAAAGTTGCATACAACTGAACGACTAACACTTTCACTTTTCACTTTCACTGGAAAAAGAGTATGGTTTCCTACAGTTCTGGTTCCATTTTTCATCCTTTGGCCACAGACCAGATGGTCAAGTAGATGAGGCAGGGGAGAGAAGTTGCCTGGTCAGAGTTGCCTTAGCCTGTCCCTTCTCCCTCTCAACTCTCCTTCCTTCCTGCATCCTGGCTTTGTCCTTCTGAATCTCACCCTTCCTTTAGAAGCAGTTTCATAGAAGAGACATCTTAGAAGGGTGGTCAGGGACCTTGGATATCTGGTGTCAGGGCTGGAAGAAGGTGGAATATTTATAGAACCTCTACCTTGAGCAAGGCATTGACCAGGTCATGTGGGCGAGGGGAGATGCAGAGATTAAAAGCAGGGTGGTGGTATATCTTGGATTTTAAAAAGTGGTCCCAAAGTCTCCGTGCCCTACTGTTTGGTTCAGGAAACACAATGACTGCATGTAAGAAACACCATCCTGGCTTCAAGGAATGTCCGGTGTCTGAGGAGAGAAGATCCTAGAAGAGATTGCAGCCACACTAGCTTGTGGGCCCCGCCAACATCGGCTGAGAGTCTGTGGGTGTCAGGGGAGGGGAGTACTGAGGGCAAGGTTCAGGCAACCTTCCCCAGGAGGTGCGGTTTGGGCAGGCTTCAGCTAGGTGGAGAGGGCAGGGTAAAGGGCACAGGAGGAGGGATGGATGGCCAAGAGGGGATTAGAAAGCAGGTGGCAGGGGTAGGAGCTGTGGTGGGGCCCAGGGAAGCAGACCTCCCTTCCAAAGCGAACCATGGGATGCCCCGATAACGGTGTCCACCTTCCAGAGCCCGGACCAATGGGCAAGGCGGCTGCAACTCATCCTTGGGCTTCGGGGTGGGAGGGAAGGCTCATTTGCCAGGGTTCACTTGGGGGGGCTCTGGGCATGGGCGGTGACTCACAGAGTAGATCCGCCTGCTCCCCTCATATCCTGTTATTCTGTTGGCTGTATCCGCTCGGAATGTGAGTGCCTTTTGTCCTGGGGCGAGGGGGTGACGTGTGTAGCCTCTGGCTGGCTGCGGAGGCTCCATCTCCAGCTGTCTCCAGCTGGGGCAGGACCAGGCCTGGCTCCTCCTTAGGTAATGGGGTGTGTGGGGGGCTGTCCTTGGATCCTGCTGTATATTTCGAGGTGGGTATGAGGGAGGTTAGGCTAGCCGGAGGTGGCTGGGGGCCTGCACAAAGCCTGACCTGGTGGATCAGGACCTTGTTTAACCAGAAAAGGACAGCCATGGCCTGAGACCCTGAACGTGCTGTCCTGGAGCCCGGCTGAAGGGTTCCGGAGATCCTAGGTCCACGCCTCCTGCTTTGTTGCCTGGGGCCAGGTCTCAGGCCACCCAGGGAGTGGCGGACATGGCTTCTGTCCCTCCCCAGGCCCCCTTGGCCTATCCTACCAATTTCTAGCTGTACTTGTTCCCGGGGCAGGGACCCTGGGTAGGCCGGGTATGGATAGGGCAGAGGGATGGGTGCTGGCACTCACTGTCTTCCCACGGATGCTCTCTTCACTCTGGGGCTCTGACAAGCCCAGTGCCTGGGGCTGGGGAAGGGCCTGGAAAACCTGCTGAGGCGGTTGAGCCGGAGATCACCTGGATGAGAGGAGACACATAGTTCTCATTCCAGGCCCACCTCCACGTCCACCCTGGGTTCTTGGGTTCTCCTTTCCCTGCCTCCTGCCTCCTCCCGAGGTCCGGGGTCTGGCTGGCCAGCATGGGGGGCCCGGGGCCCAGGGTGTGGGCCCAGTGGGAGGACAGGGGCTGTGAGACCTAGGCAGAGCTGTGGTCTGTGAGGTGTCCTCACTCCCCCTCATCCTGGCACCCAGGCCCTGTGAGGCGTGAGGCAGTGAGATGGCAGACTCGTACACGGAGCTGGAGAAAGCGGTGGTCGTCCTGGTGGAAAACTTCTACAAATACGTCTCCAAGCACAGCCTGGTCAAGAACAAGATCAGCAAGAGCAGCTTCCGGAAGATGCTTCAGAAAGAGCTCAACCATATGCTGACGGTGAGGTTCCCCCCACCCAAGGGCCTGGCCTTCCTTACCCCCACCCCTCCTCAGCCTCCAAAGCCCTGTCCTCTCTGGGTGTCCTTCCCCACTGCTTTCTCTGTCCTTTCAGAGTTACCCCTCACCCCAAACCAGGGTCTCAACTCCACCCAGGCCTCTGTCTTCAGCGTGCCCAGGCCTGACCCAGTGAGGGCTCTGTTCCCATTTCCCAAAGGCCTAGGGTCCTTCCTGGGGCTACTGTAAAGCTGCCGCATCATCACTGCTGATCCCTGACTCTCCCCCAGGACACGGGGAACCGAAAGGCTGCTGACAAGCTCATCCAGAACCTGGATGCCAACCACGACGGACGCATCAGCTTTGACGAGTACTGGACCTTGATAGGCGGCATCACTAGTCCTATCGCCAACCTGGTCCGCCAGCAGGAGCAGCAGAGCAGCAGCTAGAAGCCCCCCGCCATCCCTGCCCCATGCCCCCCACGCTCCCTCCCTAGGCTCCTCTGCCCACCAAGCCCCGTCCTCTCTTCTCCCTCTAGACCTTCTTCGGACCTTAGCCGAACAGGGTAAGGGGAAACGTCAGGGCCCCTCTGTGAGTGTCTCAGCCAGGGGTGCCTCCCTGTGGGTCTCCGTCCTTGGAGCCAGCGGACCCTGGGGCCCCTCTGTGACAATGCTGCGTGGGGATCCATGAGTTTCCCTACCTGCTCAGTCCGTCTACCCTGCTGACTCCGATGTTCCTGCCTGATTCCGGGCTTCTCCCTACCTCAGCTTGCTGCTTCAGGTCTCCGGGTTCCTGGCAGCACCAGCAAGGACTTCCCTCTTGCTCTCCCCTCAGCCCCTCTGCTGGGTAGAGGAGACTTCCAGGGATTGTCCTCCAGCTGCCTCTGTGTCTGGGAACAGGGTTGAGCCCCCTCCCTCCTCTTCAGCCACTGAAATGGGAAAAAGGCTGGATCTAGAGTTTTCCTCCCCCTCACCCTTTGTCATGTTTATTAAAGCCTTTCTATTCCTTGGAACCTCCTTCTGTTTTGGTGATCTTTGCCACCGGGCCCTAAGGCAAGGGAGCAGCAAGGGGGAATCTCATGAGAAACCCCAAGGGCAGAGGAAGAAATAAGGACTCTGGGACCCTGCAGGTGCTATCAGCAATAGGTCAGCAACTTCTTCCCTCCTCCATGAAGGGCCAAGTTCACATGTCGTTACCTCTAGGCCCTCACAGCCTGAACTCAACTCACATTCAACTTCTGGGCACATAGTGCATCCCATTTAGTCCTCACTGCAATTCCAGGAGAGAGGGGCCACAACTCTCATGTTGAGTCATGAGTAGGACTGAGATACTGAATTCTCATCAATAAATTATTCTAATACACAGAGAAGTTTATGGGATGAGGAAGTGGGGTGCAAAGAAAGAGGGGTGTGGGAGGCCAGAATTAGGTCTTAACCTGATGTGGGGGACAATGACAGCTTCTGTGTTTCTTCCCTGCCATGGGAAGACAGCACATGCCTCCAGGAGAAATAGGGCAGGAGGTCCAGCCTGCAGGGCTCTGGATCAGTGGTTTTCAACCCCAGGAAGTGTACCCCAAGGTTTAAGATTTTTTAAAAGATGCACAGTCATAAACAGTTTTACAGTTTTATTGGAATCCATTACAGATCCTCAACCTTCTAAAAGTGATCTGCCTCATATGAGCTTGCGGTCAAACTATATGTTTAATATGGTGCCATTTGTCTATTTGTTACTTGTTTTTCTTTTTTTGTTTTTTGTTACTTTTTTTGGTGTCATCAGTTCAGTTCAATTTAGTCCCTTGGTTGTGTCTGACTCTTTGCGATCCCATGGACTGCAGCACACCAGACTTCCCTGTCCATCATCAACTCCCTGAGCTTGCTCAAACTCACGTCCATGGAGTCGGTGATGCCATTCAACCATCTCGTCCTCTGTTGTCTCCTTCTCCTCCTGCCTTCAATCTTTCTCAGCATCAGAGTCTTTTTCAATGAGTCAGTTCTTCCTATCAGGTGGCCAAAGTATTTGATGTCAAGGAATATTTGCTTGTTACAATGTCATGAGGGTGTCTCCCTAAGTTTTCTTCTATGAGTTTTATAGTTTCAGATCCATGTTTAGGTTCCCATTTGAGTTAATTTTTGTATATGGTGTAAGGTAAGGGTCCAAATTCATTCCTTTGTGTATGAATATCCAGTTTTCCTAGTACCATTTGTTGAAGAGACTATCACTTTCCCATTGTTTGGCGTTGCTATCCTTACTGAAAATCATTCAATCAAATATGTGAGGGTGTAGTTTTGGGCTCTCCATTCCAGCCCATTGGCCTGCATGTCTGTCTTTTTGCTAGTTCATACTGGTTGGATTACGGTAGCTTTGTAATGTGTTTTAAAATCAGGATGTGTGAGGCCTCCAGCATTATTCTTTCTCAAGATTGTTTCGACTACTTGGGGTCCTTTGAGATTCCATATGAATTTTAGGATAGTTTTTTTCTATTTCTGAAAAAAATGCCATTGGGATTTTGATAGGGATTTCATTTAATCTCTAGGTCACTTTGGATAGTATGAACATTAAGCTGTATTACGTCTTCCAATCCCTGAATTTGGGATGTCTTTCCCTTTATTTGTGACTTCCTTAATTTCTTTCAGCAATCTTCTATAGTTTTCTGTGTACAAGCCTTTTGCCAAGGACTTGATGTGGTAGTTCCTTAAAGCCTAAGGTATGAAGATGCCACCATGAAAGATCCCGGAGGCAACTCAGAACAGAGCTCCCTTCACTGCCCCTGGTTTGTGCCTGGGGACCAACACTTTACCCGTCAAGAGTTTAGAACAGCAGGTGGGAAATGAGCAGATGTGTGACCCCAGTTAGTGGCTTATTTCTAGAGGGTTCTAACTGTAACCCTAGAGGACTGGAGATGATGCTGAGCTTCAGTGGAGGTCAGAGGAACTTACAAACAGTCACTGCCTGGGCTCCAGGGCCTGGAGCCAGAAAGGCCCCAAAGGAACAAAAGCAGCCACTTCGAGGTCAGGCAGCTCAGCTGGAGGCCTCCCTGGGGAGTGTTGGGTCAGCAAAGGGCCAGGCTTTCTCCCTCACCCAGGAGTCCAGGGACCAGATGGCCTGAGCAGAGCAAGAGGACGGGGGCCAGAAACATGTTCCTGTGGGGATCCCACAGTGGAGCTGAGAAGGGTCCCTCTGTCTGGGGTCTCACCCTGTCCTGGCCTAGTGTCTAAACTATTGGGACTAAGGAGGTGGGTACCCAATAAATTGTGCCCATCAAATCTGTCTGACACCAGGTTTGTCATTCTATAGGGCGAGAACCTGGCTTATCTTGCCACATTAGGGGAAGAACACTAAAATCACCTGGGTCAGCTTTTGTATTTCCTACACATTTTGGTTTTCCTTTCCATTTCTATTCCTAGTAAAGTCCCTTTTAGAAAACAAAACAATCCTTTCTGTAAGTCCAGTGTTAAAAGTTTTAAAAAACTTTTCTCATCCAAGGCTCTTGTGGTCCTCCTGGCAGCCCTATGAAACAGGAATCATAATCCATGTTTTACAGATGAAGATATCGAGGCTCAGAGAAGTGACGTGACTTAATTCAAGACACACTGCTGATCTGACCAGCGGACCTGCCGCTCAGGCCCCTGCTGTTACTAACTGTGTGTGGCCTGCCCAAAGGGCAGAGGCTCCGGTCTGTGTCTTGGCCCCAGTGATTATGAAGCATTTAAGCCCCTTACAGGCCCTGGATGGTGGTCATGGTTGCTTCTGCTGAGGACACATTCATTTATTTATTCATTCACTCATTCAGAGCATAGTACTTTGGGGTCTTCCCTGGTCCAGTTGTTAAGAATTCAAGCTTCCACTGTAAGGAGGGTAAGGAGCGTGTGTTCCATCCCAGCAGTGTGGCCAAAAAAATAAATAAAAATTAAAAAAAAAGAATATAGTACTTGTATGTGCCAGGCACAGTAGATAGTGCAGTAAAAAAGAGAAGGAAAAATATGATTCCTGATTTTATGGGACTTTCAGTTTAGAGAAGACAACAAATAACCATGCAATCACACAAACAAGTGGATGATTACAAACTGAGGTCAACTGACAAGGATCATATTTACAGCAAATTTTTTTTTCCTACATCAGGCCTCTTGTGGGATCTTAGTTCCTCGATCAAGGATCAAGCCTGGGTCATGATAGTGAAAGCACTGAGTCCTAAACACTGGACCACTAGGGAATTCCCTGTAGTATTTTTAAACAAAGAAACCTGATTTAGTCTGGGAGTGGGGAGTGTCCTTATGGAAGTGACTCTTGAGATTTAAAAGATGAGCAAAAGTTATCCAGGCAAGGGGAAGATTGTGAGAATAAAGTTGAGGGGAAGAAGTGCTACCCAAATAGATGACCATCATATGCAAAGGTTCTGTGGCAGGAAGCTCCTTTTTACTAAGGGGAAGTGAGTGTGGCTAAAGCCCAATAACAAGATGAGGCTGGAGAGCTCCCTCCGGGACATGTTAAGGATTGGCAGCCACTGAATGGTTTTTTTCAGCAATGTGAGCGTGTGTGTGTGTGTGTGTGTGTGTGTGTGTGTGTGTGTGTGTGTGTGTTCGCGCGCACTTGGGTGTGTGATGTGCTCAGATTTGCATTTAGAAAAATTTCACATATTTTGCCACATGGAAAAGATTAAGAGGGGGTGAAGTAGGGGCAGGGAGACCAGTGAAGAGATATTTTAACAAATAGTAGTTAATTGTTACTGAGTACTTACTCTATACGAGGTTTCTCTGGTGGCTCTCTGGTTTTCTCCAGTGAAGGACAAGAAAGCCTGGCATGCTGCAGTCCATGGGGTCACAAAGAGTCAGACACAACTGAATGACTGAACAACAGCGGGTGACTCAGTGGTTAAGAATCCGTCTGCTAATGTAGCAGATTCGGGTTTGATCCTTGGGTCAGAAAGATCCCCTGGAGACTTAAATAGCAACTAATTCCCCTGAATTCCCATGAACAGAGGAACCTGGTGGGCTGTAATCCATAGCATCTCAGAGTTGGATCAGACACGACTTAGCAACTAAACTAACAAACTTACTCTGTAGAGGCACTGCTCTGAGTATTTCACACATATTAAATCCCTAATCCCCAGAACCCAATGAAGTAAGTACTTCTGTTTCCCCCATTTTACAGGTGAGGAAACCAAGGCACAGAGAAGTTACATAACTTTACCAGAGATCATACAATTGACAAGTGGTGGAACCCAGGCAGTCTGATTTAGGAGCTGCGGCTCTTAACTATGATTGTCTCCTGAACTCTGGTAGAGAGAGTTAGAGTGCAGGCTCACTTATCCCAATCAGCATGTGCTTATTTTGTGCTCACTACCTGCCAGGCGGTATTCTATCTCTGCGGAGCTTGGAGTCTAGTCAGGTGGAGATACCTGAGCAGCAAGTGAACAAGGAAATCATATGGTGTGTAAAGAAGAATAAAGCAG